TCCCGCCGCGATCGTCAGCTCCGCTCCGCCTTGCTACGTCCCTATCTTCCTTCTATACTCGGTCGCTAATTTGCTAACTTTAACATCGTATAACAACGAACTAAAAGCTCGTATCAAAAAATGACTCAGGACTTTTTTACTTGGATTCTCGTCCTGTATCTCATGGTATACTCCAAGTGCGATAATTTAGTTACACCCTGTATAAAATATACCTATGTTTAAAATTTTTTTAATTCTTTATTTTTACAGAAAATATCTATGAATCTATCATACAGAATGAATCAAATAAAGAAAATGCAGAACAAGTATATGAGAAACAACCTTCTCAACTTTCTAATCAACAAAATGTTGAAGAAAAAAAACTTTGGACAACTGAATCTACTTTGGCGTTGATTAACTTAGTCGAAGAATACGAAGAACAATTTCAAAGTTCAGTGAAAAAATATGTTTGGCAAAAAATATCGGAAATTCTTAAAGATAAATTAAGTATTTCATTTACATGGCAACAATGTGATACGAAATGGAAGGGCTTGTTAAAGATCTATAAAGATGTTAAAGAACACAACATAACATCAGGGAAAAATAGAAAAAGATGGGAATATTATGAAATCATGAATAAAATACTTCACAATAAACCAGAAATTACACCTGTAGCTACGTGTAGTAGTAGTAAAGGACTGGTAACTCACAAGTTGAGTAACACTGATAGAAGCACAAGTGAAACAACAAACACGGATGAAGAATGTTTCTCTGATGATAAAATAAAAGATACATCGCCATATATATCCTCTTTTTCTAGGAAACGTTCAGCAGTAACTAATGCTTTAGAAAGAAGGCATCAAGATAAAATGCGTAGACAGGATGAATTTTTGAACTATTTTAGTGATTACCTTAATATACTTCGTAATAAAACTAAAGATACTGGCGAAGATTCGTCACATTAAAGATGCATTCAGAGAAACGTTATTAATACTGGGTGCTTTCCATTTGATGACACAAGTCGACACAAGTGTCGTTCTATGTCTAAATCTCTTTGTCTAAATCTCTAAATGTCAAGAAAGATAGAACGATACTTGTGTCGACTTGTGTTATCAAATGGAAAGGACCCACTATTTGTCGTTCCATCTTTGTTTAAATCTGATAAAGGAAGATTGAATGACACAAATAGTGCTAATAGCATCTCCCTGAATGCACTTTAGGTCAGATCATTGTCGGCCAAACCGTCAGGACAATCCAAACCATTAAGAAATTGATTCTATTTAATTTCTTATTTATTTTCTTTTCTATTTACTTGAAGTTAAAATGAAATTAGCGTTTTTTTTTTATTAAAAATTTTGAAACGAGTATATCTGTTATGATATTGAAAAAGTCTACTATGATATATATAATACAATACTTGTAATACTTTTTAATTTAAATCTTAATACTTTAGTCAATTTTCTATCAAGCGACGCGGTAGCGTCGCGACGCCAAGTGCATAAAATAAAAATATAACCGTTTGACATGAAGACATGATACTTGATGCATGTATATGTTCATGTCGATGTCAAATTCACGACGCTACCACTAGCTTTATCTCGAGTTTTCACATCTTGAAACTTTAGATTAAAATTACTCAGAATTTAAAAGCCCAATCAAAAATCTAAAAACACTTTTATTATATAATGTCATCGGTATCTTTCGATTGCTACCAGTCCGAATAAAATTGGTGCAGCCGATACCGAGATCTAGAGACCGAGTCCCGAAAAGGGTACGTTTCAGTTATGTTCAGACGTACGTGTGACACATACATGTATTTTTCAATCGTACGTGTGACACATACATGTAAAGCGTTTTGTCCATTAGGCTGCTGTTCACAATGTCTACATTCAAAAAACAGTCACATGTGTAATAACATACATATGTGTATAACACATGTATGTACATATGTAATAATAATAACACATG